CATGGTCTCCGTCTCCCGTCTGCCACACTTCTGCCAGCTCCATGGCCTCAGTCACAGCTTCATCGCGTCTGTGACCACTGTCACCCCTCCGTCACAGCTATCACACACACTCCATCGCAAATCCATCGCCTCCATCCCACCCTTGTCACCTCCATCACCTTCACCACAGCTCCGTCGCCCCTCCATCACCTCCCTCCCGCTCACCGGCAGAGTTCATCTCACTCTTTCTCCTCAACTCCACTAAAATCAATTTTTCCTGCCCTACAGCTGCAGATTGTTTGGCTCATTACTGGGCAGAAAGAGCAGGTGGGGTGCTGGAGCCATGCCACCCTTCTCCAGCTGAACAGGCAGGCTGTGCCAGGGGCACTGAATAAAACCAAAATCATTCTAAGAGCAGTCGGTAACAAGAACAAGCAGGGTCACAACGGGAGAAATGCTCTTGCACACAGCAAGAGAGGAGCTCATGCCACAGAGAAGCACAATTTTTAGCAGAAAACTGCATTTTGCCAAGATTCCTCAAATTACACCCCGGTCTGAGGGCTTGGCTAAACATTTGTACCTCAAGGAACTGCGCAGTTTCCTACCCTGGAGGACTGGACGCTGCAGGGATGCCACTTGAGGTGTTTTCCATAAATTGCCTTACTATTTGTGTGGCAATTTAATATGTATTGCCTTTTTTAGGGGAAGTTTTGCAAAGCCTCAGACTGAAAAATCCTGCTAATGCCACCGGTGTCACAGCCCCAACAGAAAAGGAACAACAAGCTCACATCCCCATAGGAAAAATTCATATCCAACATACCCAAGACAGATTTTTAAGGCAACAGAAGAGATATGGGGTGCTTCCCCCCCAAAAAAAAAAGATCTTTTCCCAGTGGAATAAAACCAGTAAGATACTTAAACTTTCATATAAGTATTTATTGAGTTAAAAATATCACGCAGATTATATCCCAGCGTACAGGTGTGTTCCTCACAGGTGTGAACTAGCAGGAATCACTGCTCCATTTGCTGTGAGAATTCACCTTCTATTGCTCGCTAACAATAAACAACCACCAACCACCACACACAAAACAGACCAACAAAAAAACTCCCACCTTGTTACCAAAAAAAAAAAAGGCAGCAAATGCATAGTCTGAAAGCCAGAAGTGTTCTGCTGTGCCTCCTACTGCTTCTTGTCCCATATTCTCAGTCCTTTGATATTTTCCAGGAGGCTTCTTGTGAGGAGTTTAGCTAATAATTTGTGAACAGCACTTGTGGATATGTGTGTGTATATATATTTTTTAATTTTATCTCTAGTAGGCAGTCGCTAAGGCTTGGTAGAAATGCTCAGGTTTGATTTCATGAATTTATACTGAGACTTTATACTGAAGGCTTTGTAAACAGCTCTGCCGAATGAGCTTGGAAGACTTTCCCCCCCTGGGAGAAGGCTGGCCAGGTTTTTTGGGGAAGGAGCCTGCAGGTTTGTCCCCAATTTGGTGGCTGCAGGGAGTTGCCTGTGGCAGCTCCAGCTCTGCCTGGCTGAGGACACCCCTACTGACACCTCCCACCACTTCTCCAGCCCAAAGCACCTTGGACCTCTGGTCTCCTTGGATGTCCCCAAGAGGACTGGCCCTCTGGTGAGCTTTCCTGCAGGCAAGGGTGATAGAGAAGCGTGGCAAAGCCACCTTTCTCCCTCCCCACTCACATTTCCATGAGATATGAAGAAGCCTCCAGTGAAACCAGACAGCGAGGGGCATCTGGAGCACGTTAGCAAGGGGGAGCTGAGCGTCCGATTCTAAGGGTTGGCTTTCTTCTGCAAAGCAAGGCTTCCTCCCCACTGCTTACGGAGAGCTCTTTGTGGGGAAACGCTTCTTAATCTGAAAGCACTCGCATTTCTTGTATTTCATGGTCAGTCCATACTGAGGGGTGATGTCCACCTTCTCTCCAGGGCAGAGGCTGAACTCCAGTTGCTGCAACATAGTGGCCAAGAAGAGGAAGACCTCCCAGCGGCCAATGGACTCCCCGATGCATCGCCGCTTTCCCAAGCCAAAAGCCATCACTTTGTCACTTTCCGTCCTGTTTATTTCAGTCCCCGTGGCATTGAGGAACCGCTCGGGGTTGAAAGTTGAGGGGTCCTTCCAAAGTTTCCTGGAGAAGAAAGGAGACACAGCTGAGGAAGCCATTTTTACCCACCATGATGGCGACAGCAGTCAAAAAACTCCTTGCAGGGAGGAGTGTTACAATCACTTCTCATTTCACCATCAAAAAAACTTTGGCAACATCTGTCCCTGACATAAAATGCCAACTGCATGTCAGACCCCATCAGCTCAGTCTACTGAAACCTCTGTTTCAAACTGGAATTGTGTTTGCCTGTGCAGATATCGGGGATGGATTTAATTCAGCGTGTAATATTGAGAGGTCCTGCAGCATCAGCTAAAAGGAGAAAAAGAAAATCCGTGCGCAGAAATCAGTCAGCACCTCTTAAAAAGGGAGGATGGAGCCCTGAGGGTTTTCCCACCTTGTATTCTCTCAGCAAAACTTCCCAGCCTGGCTGCTGGAAAGTGCCACGTGGGACTTTCCAGCGCCTTAGCTGAGAATTTCTGCTAGGATATGGGAAATCGTCTCTAGCCCTAAAGACAGTATTTCCATTGCAACACTCACCAGCATATGCAGGAGTGGAAGGACTATTGTAATATTTCTGTGCCATTGGGCTATTTGGATGAAGAGGTCCTGAGCTTCTGATCCGAAATACCTGATCTGGAAGCCACCTCCTGTGTCAACCTCTAATCAACTTATTCCCCCCCAATAAGGTCTGTACTTGAGAGCACTGTAGGGGTAAGATGAGGCTTTTCTTTCCAGATCCCCTTTCATTCTCCAATGAATGGGCTTTTGGGATGTTGCTGTAAAGGATCAGCGCGGTCTTAATGCCAAGCAAAGCCATGACAGCCTGGATAAGCCTAGGGGATTTGGTGTACTTACTCGTCGTGGTTCACTTGCCACTGGTTGATAAACACACAGGTATCTTTGGGGATGTAGTAGCCGTTCAACGTCGTTGCTTTTGTCGTACTGAAAGAAATACGGGTGGAGGGAAGAAGTTAAGATAAGTACCTAGAAAATATCCCAATTTGTATTTGGGAGATTAAATAGTCTCAAAACAAGGGATTCAACCCCAGGAGGGCAGCGGGTGAAGCCACAGACGGGAACACAATGTGGCAGCTGCACTATGGGCAAGCATGAAAGTCATGGGGAGCTTTACTGTGACTAATTCAGGCTGTGCACTGCAATATTTCCCCATAGGAGGGATCAATTTTCTGTCTAAATGGCACCTTCCAGAAAATTACTCTGAAAAAAACTCCAAATAACATGTAAGCCACTCCAGCCCATACCTGTGTGGGATGGTGAAGGGCAGGAAGGAGGAGTGCCTGAACATCTCCAGGATAAAGGCTTCTGTGTAGGGCAGCATGCCTCTGTCCGACAGCCTCGGTCTCCTCTCCTGGCCGATGGTCTGGTCTGCGGGAGGTCAAGAGGAGGGAGCAGGTTGATGTTAACCCTCGCTGGACTGGTTTTGGCCCCTGAGAAAGCAGGTCCATGGACTTACCTAGTTCTTCCTGGATCTTCTTCTGGATTTTGGGGTACAAGGCAACATACATGAGGCTCCAGGATAAGGCAGTTGTCACGGTATCAAAGCCTGAATGAAAAAGGCATTTAGTTACCAAAAGAAGACAGACAAGCAGGCAATTACAGACCCCATCACTCTAGATGTTTGCCATGGAGCAGTTCCCCATCAGCTATCACTGATAAGCATTCCCAAGATCTCACTCTGATGGCCCCAGTTCCCTGGTTCTACCTCCCAGCAGAGAGGCTTTACCCTCAGAAGTGTTCTTACCTGCCCCAAAGAGGTCATTGACAATGTTGATGATCTTCTCATTGGAGAGTGGAATTCGGGCATCCTCCCCTCCACTATTCTCCTGGCAGTGCTCAATCAGCGAGTCCATGACGTCCCGGATGTGCCCCTGAGGAAAAGCTAGTGGGTCAGGGACATCATGGACATCCAGGGCTTGGGAAACCTCCCACAGTCAATGTTGGCTCCTGGGAGGATTAACTATGGATTGGAGAGCTCAAAGAAGCTTTCCTGGGCAAGGTGAGGGGACAAGGGAGCATCCTCGTCTCCCTGTTGCCAGGCAGGCAGCAGATTGTAGGCATCTCCACCTCCATCCAGGTGGAGCATCCAAGCTCTTACCTTATCAAAGCTGGTGTAATGCTCCTGGACAATGTTTTTCACAAAGGCATTGAAACGTCTGTTGACGTCCTTAAAGAGCGCCATGGTGCGGCTAGGAAGATACTGGAGCATGGGAATGAAGTCAGCGGGGTTGCCAGAAGCAGCCACATCCCCAAATTCATTGCCTAGGTCCACTATATTGAGCAGCTCTTGGTCATTGTGGTCATAACGCTTGCCAAAGCAGATGGCACAGATGACGTTGGCCACAGAGACCACCAGGTACCGGTAAGGATCAAAGCTCTTCTTCTCCTCCATCAGCTGCAGGAACTTGGTGACCAGGTAGTCGGCCTCCTTGGAGACGTGCTCCTCCAGGAGGCAGATGGAAGAGGAGGTGGGACTGGGGGCAATGGAGAAGGTCTTCAGGGCATTCTGGGCCAGCTTTCTGCGAGCTTTCCACACCTCCCCAGAGTCAGGGCTGAATGCCAGGCTCTGGCCATTTGAAATGTATTGGAAGCTATAGAGGTCAGGGCGCCCCATGAAGTCTTCTCCTT